TGTGGTTGTGCAATATGTTGTTTATGTTTTGTGCAAAAATGCCTCAAGTTATTAATATTTGCATTAAATAATTATTATTTCACAGAGCACTGATATCCTGCCGTTTCTGTTCAGTTGTATCGGGATGATTACTGAAACTGACTTGATATGGCACAGCCCCACCTAGAATATTTTTCACCAGCCGCCACTGTGCACAGAGTATAAGTTTATTCAAGTATTCAGCAAAGCAGAACACTGTCACAAACTGAGCCCTCTAGAAAGACTGAAGATGTCTCAAAACCGGTCCTCTTTTATAGCAAAATAGGTGAGTATCGCCCCACCCTTCTTTTTCTTTAAGTTTCGTTCCCAGAATTGTTTTCTAATGGAGGCAAATTCTCACCATGTGGTCAGTAATACTGTTTGGGTTAATGTATAAGTGGCTGTTCTTTCCCACCGGTAGGTTTGTTGATTCTCCTGTACAATTTAAAAAAATATCTCCTGTAATAGCTTTTCACAAGAGGGCTGTCATGGATGATCTATTATTTACGTCTAAGCTCGACTCTGTGTATACACAACACCGGGGAAGTCCATTCTGTTGCGAGGAAGTCACACAGCTGCAGGCCCTCAGGACCTTGGTTCCTAGAGGTTTATGGATTCTCAGCCTCCACAAGGGCAGGGTGTCAAACTCATTTTCATCCCGGGCCACAAAGGCATTATGTTTGCCCTCAAAGGGCCAGTTGTAATTCTAAGACTGTATAAATGTAACGACTCCTTCACATATTGTTAAATAACTGTCTCTGCATTTGATTGTTATTTATTATATGTACAACTCTTGTGCATGCCTTTATCTACAAGTAAAACACATGTAGCAGGGCTCCAGACTAACTTTTCCAATGGTAGCACTGGTGTTACCAACTGTCTTCGTTGGTCGCACCAGCTAATGATTTGGTTCATGAACATGTGTATGAGTTGATGGTAGTCTGGAGCCCTGTGTAGGCACATCGCTGTGTTATTATAGCATGAACAATATTATATTACATTATTTTATATCAGGTAAATCCCATTAATTTATCAGTTTAGGAAACACACATCTATCGTGGGCCACATAAAATGACGTGATTTGGCCCGCGGGCCTTGAGTTTGACATATGTGGTTTAGGGTTTAGGGTTTAGGGTCAGGGTTAGGGGTTATGTGTTAGGGTTTGGGTTAGTTTGTGGCAGACATTAGCCTTGTTCGTTGTTGTTGAGGCATTAAAGCGACTGAGCCTTGACAACGTGTCCTACCTCATTCTTTGGTCCAGCCGGACGTTACAATCCACAACTGTCTTGGTCTGATTGTCTAATTGTGACAGCAGCTCAGTCAGATTCTGAGAAGAAGAAGAAGAAGAAGCAGAAACCTGTCATCTTCTGTGGTGTTTTCAGGTTTTATATAAACTACAGCAGCTAACGCTAACAAAGACTCTAGCGCTAACATGCTAATTGTTGCGGCTAGCAGGTCATCAATGGCCGGTGTCTTTGTTCACTATCCCCCTGGGTCAGTCTGATGCCCCCACATGCCTGAACAGAGCCTCTTCTGTTCCTGTATCAGACCTGAGGCCTGCTGAGGTGGCCAGTAGCTCTCCCCTCTGGAACCGTCAAGTGTTTTAAGAGGCTAATCAGGAGGCACATCTGTTCCCTGAGTTTCTGGATGCACCACAGTTCTTGTACCGGCCCAACACATCCACTGATGATGCCGTCTCTCAGGTTCTGCCCACCACCTTCACCCACCTGGACAGGCGCTGAGGAGACCAGAACCATCGAGCCCTTCAAGCTCTACACCAAGCTGTCCGGTCTGGGTCTGAGCACCCCCCTGTGTGTGATTCTGGATTTCCTGTCCACTAGAATCCAGATCATCCAGGTGGTCCCCTGAATCTAGCAATTTATAATATTAATAAAGTTTTTTAAAAGTTTTTTGATTCTAATCCTGACCTGTCTGTCACGGTGGTGTCGGACTCACACTGTGAGAGGCTGGTGGGTGTGTTCCTGGGCCACCGAAGGCTCGCCAACGGGCCAACCGAAGGGCCGACCGAATGGCCGCTGAAGGGCCAAGTGAAGGGCTGACTGATGTCTGGTCAGTCACACAACTGGTTATTGGTTAGTTTCTTTATTTAGGATGTTTGCAGTTACAACACATGCACAGACGTCTCATGCACACACTCTAACCCGAACCCATAACTCAGCATTCTTTGCTTTGTACAATATCAGTGCTGTTTTTAAGCAAACTATATCTGAACATTTAGCAATTGTGATTTTTATCAACAGATAGTTGGTGTGATCTCTGTATACAGCCTGGTCTATGATCCGGACAAGTTTTTTTTGTAATGTGTAGATCTTTTGATTTGTGTTTATTTCCCCAGACTTGGACACAGTAATGTAGGCATGGTAGGATCATGGGGCAGTCGAGGGTGTGTCCTGTTTTCTGTGATACTGAAGACTTTGTTCTACTGATTATCCAGATACAAATATTTTATGCATGGTTTCCAACACAGCTTATGATCGACCAAAACACCTCAACACCTAAAAATGTACTTATATAAACCTATCAATAGATTCTTCATCAGTTCCATTTTCTCATTAATTTTCCTTTTTCCAATAATCATGAACTTTGTTTTACTTGCGTTTAATGCTAATTTATTATTATCAAACCAGCATTTAGGTTTACTCAGTTTGTTTTGGACCATTGACAATAATTGCTGCAGATTTTCTCCAGTACAGAAAACATTTGTGTCATCTACAGTTAATTTAAGTACATCACTAGCTTTGTATAAATCATTGATATATAATATTAATAATTTACGGCCCAATACTGACCCCTGTGGGACACCACAGGTAATGTCCAGACGCCCCGACCTGTGGT